TAGCAATTTTAGATGGTCTTTGACTCGTTCTTTTCGAACCTCAGATTTGACGCCCGTATTATTTACTGATGCATAAGACGCACTTTTTCCAAAATATATAAAATTTGAAAGCGCTGAAATCCCAAATGGGGTCATCTCAATTTGTCATATACTGTATTGTACTTCACAGACCATATGCAGTGTAATTTTCCATGTCCCTGCAAAATTTCAAGTAGCTCTCAGAAGATTTTTATCAATATCTAGCTCCAAGAAAGTGAAAACAAAGATTTAAAAAGCAGGGAATATATAAATCCATTTGAAAAAGTGTATAAAAGCGCTGAAATCCCAAATGGGGTTATTTTGAACTTATATATACTGTATATACTGTATATTGATAAATTTAAACTATAGGCGCTGAAATTCCACGTGGTGGTCATTAACAATTTTTTATGCATCATAAACCATGTGCCATGCATTTTTCTAAATCCCTGAAATATTCTTCTGTGCAGATTTCCCTCGTCGATTGACCCCCAAAAACAAAAGCGGAACGAATAAATAAAATCTGGGCATATTTTATCCAAATGAAAAATTTGAAAAAGGCCACAATTTCCTTAGATGATTTGATTCTTTTCAAATATAACCACAGTACCTTTCATGACGCCTGTTATATAAAAAAGGTACGGTATCCGAAGCATAAAGAAAAATGCTCTGCGAAACGCCCGCTAACCGGGACATCATTATATCGAGATCGTACATTTCTCGGCAATCGTTTACTGCAAAATTAATGACACGGAAAACCTTCGTCCAGTTTCCTACAGCAGAGACTTCTAAAGATCTTTAGGTGTAGTAGGGCGTGTTACAAAGGCACCAACAAGTAATATTTAGTAGGGAGACTGACAACACCCAAAGTGTTGTAGTCTTCTTTTTGTGCTTGACCTTGTTATAAACACTACTAACAGCGTGTGACAAAGGGTCATGAACCCGACAATTCGGGGGTACGAAAAAAAAATAAAGCGAGACTCCATATCTCACAAAAACCCGGCGTTGTTATTTGCTCCGAAAACAACCGCGCAAAAAGTCAATCCGTTGTTGTTATTGTGCTTCCCATTGACGCAAAAGGCAATATTTTCGGCGCTAGCTCAACCATGGCAAATGCAATGATGAAAACTCGGTTTCAAAGTGCCTGTCTGCCACGCTTGCCGACAAAAGAGTTCTTTTGCTACTTTCGCTTTATAACATGTCTTGAAAACTGTTCGCTCTTCAAAGGGGGGCGCCCCGTCACTTTGGGTTGATAGCTTAAGAGACTTCTCTACTTATTAGCTTCAGCAAAGTAAGGTAATGAAACTCATTATTATCTTTTATCTGACTCACAATTTTTAAATCTTATACTCTACAGATGAACCTCCCTATAAGTAGAATTTAGAATCCCTAAGTGAAAAAAAAAATCTGGGTGCAGAGAATCCCATTGTCTCAGGAAATCGCAAATGTTAGTTAAGAAAACGATGAAAGCGAAATATTGTACAGAACTTTTGACAAGCGAGAAGTTTCCCCCCGCGGGGCAGTGAAACCCAACTATCGAATTCTCTGAAGAGATGAATAATCGAAGTCGTTTCATTCCATGAAACTCATTATTATCTTTTATCTGACTTACAATTTTGAAGTCTTATACTGTACAGTTGAACCTCCCTATAAATAGAATTTAGAATCCCTAAGTGAAAAAAATCTGGGTGCAGAGAATCCCATTGTCTCAGGAAATCGCAAATGTTAGTTTTATCATGGGAATGCATGAAAAAATGCCACCCAGTCAGGATTATCTATAATTTTCTGCAGGATTATAAGGAAATTTAAGACTTTTCCTGGGGTTAATGCCTTGGTTCAAAAATCAGATTATTTTTATTTGCAAAGCTCAGGCAGGGGACATATTTTGAAAGAATCCAAACTTTGCTGCACAAAGGTTAAAAAACCTGTCTAACTTGAAGGTTTTCCCCCGTAAACCTCCACAACTCAAATTTTCTAAGGCCATTTGGCTATTATTTTCTTGACACATGAAAGAGAAAAGCATCCCTTCAATGTACAGATGGCAACCTTGCAAATCAAAGTCCCACAATTCAACCATATCCTGAAATTCTCATGTCCAGGATTTCATAATGATAGAAACAAGCTTCAGATAGATCTACAAGTACTGGAATTCAATGAAGAGACCCTTTCTGAAATCTTAAAGGATCAAGATAAACTGTTGGCTTTTATTTTAATCACTTCAGAGCAGGAAAGCACAAATTGATAACAAAAATGAAAGAAAATACAATACAACATGAAATACAACTGGACATCTGACATATATGCATACACCCATTCATTCCCTGACATTGGTACCAAAATATGTAAAAATTAATTTCAAGCACAATGTCTTCAGCTTGTTTCTGTATAAGGCTTAGTTGAATGAACAATTTACAGAGAATCTTTGATGAGAAATCATATAAAGACAACAGTTTATCTTGATCCTTTAAGATTTCAGAAAGGGTCTCTTCATTGAATTCCAGTACTTGTAGATCTATCTGAAGCTTGTTTCTATCATTATGAAATCCTGGACATGAGAATTGCAGGATATGGTTGAATTGTGGGACATTGATTTGCAAGGTTGCCATCTGTACATTGAAGGGATGCTTTTCTCTTTCCTGTGTCAAGAAAATAATAGCCAAATGGCCTTGGAAAATTTGTGTTGCGGGGGTTTAAGAGGAAAAACCTTCAAGTTAGAGAGGTTTTTAACCTTTGCGCGCTGCGCAGCAAGGTTTGGATTTTTTCAAAATGTGTCCCCATGAGCTTTGCAAATCAAAATAATCTGATTTTTGAACCAAGGCATTAACCCCAGGAAAAGTTTTAAATTTTCTTATAATCCTGCAGAAAATTATAGATAATCCTGACTGGGTGGCATTTTTTCATGCATTCCCATGATAAAACTAACATTTGCGATTTCCTGAGACAATGGGATTCTCTGCACCCAGATTTTTTTTTTCACTTAGGGATTCTAAATTCTACTTATAGGGAGGTTCATCTGTAGAGTATAAGATTTAAAAATTGTGAGTTCATAAAAACGTGGTAAAATATCAAATTCAATGTAGAAAGCATCAAATGTGGCATTACCTAGAAATTCTAATGCTCTGAAATGTGGGGCCCCACCTGTATCTTGATGAAAGTTCTCCAAAATATGTAATCCTCTCTGATGGGAGGAAATGTGAAGGTTCCTTAAACCATGGCATCATAAAAATATACTTATAATAATTAATTACTGACCCGATTTCAAAAGGTTGTGAAGACCATCCATCCAAACACCCGCCTGAAGAACGGATCAAGAAATCAGGTATTTCTGTAAAACTTTCCCCGGTTTTTAAATTCGCCGGAATGTCTAACATCCAGTGTAAGAAATTTTACTCACCTCGCTTGGAAAAATTCTGACTGATGGAATGGAGAGACTCCCAGGAGACCTGATAAGCATTATCGACCAAAGTATCAACGACGAATGGTTGGATGCCAGTAGGAAGTCTTTGGGACCCTCGGATTCCGTCGTGTTTTCTGTAACATTGTCCACCAAGGATTCAAACCTCCAACTTCCAGGTGGTGCACACGCGGTGAACTCAAATCACAAGCTCAATGAGCCCGAGAACCAGCAGAGGCACCATGGCGACAAGAGGCCGGATAATGATGGCAAGAACAAGCACCAGCATGTGCCACACCATCAAGAGGACGACCACAAGAAGGGAAACCACATTAAGCATAACCAGGATGGCGAAAAGGGACACCACGGCAAGAAGCCACATCCTCAGGATGAGGAAAAGGGGTCCAAAGCTGAGCACCACAAACTGAACAATCACAGCAGTCATCCTGATCACCCAAAAGTTTCCCCGGAATGCAAGCAGAAATCTGCGCAGTACACTCTGCCGAAAACAGGATTTCGGGTTTGTGATTTAATTTCGCGAAAGAATTAAATGGAAGTTTTTTCTTGAAAAAAAAAATATCGAAGAATCTTTAAAAGAGAAGAACATTTGGCTGAATAAATTCTGAGTGGGGATACCTGCTCTTGGATTTTGAGTCTCATCTTCCAATTTTTGAAATTCTGCAGGAAAATGCCAAACTATAATTAAAATGTGCACCAAAATAGGATACCTTGCCTTACAGAATGTACCACTTAATCATTTCATTCCTTATCCACCGTTTTATGAGAAAAATTATCTTATATAAATCTTATATAATCTTATACCTTATACAGTTGAACCTCTCTAAGACAACTTTTTATAAAAATTTGACTCAGGAAGTTTCAATTTTTGGAGGTTTTGAGTACATTAAGGAGACAATCATTTTTGCTGCAACAATAAATAAAAAAAATTGCAGGAATTTTAAATGAGGATATTCTTTGCCTAAACTTGGATCTTGATGAGTTTACAGCTTGTGAACTTGGATGCAAGGGTTCATGTATAACTAGTTTGTCACTTCCTTGCAAGATGCCTAAAATCATTTGCTTCATTGATTTTCTCTTTCATATTTCAAGGGAATGGCAACCAAAAGGCCTTAAAAAATTCGAATTACGGAGGTTTGGGAGAAAAAGACTTCTAGAGAGGTTTTCAATGCTTTGTTTATAAGGGAATTCAGACTGGGACTTGAAAACATTTTGAGATAAGGAGGTATTTGACTTATGGTGGTTTGACTTATGGACGGTCCATCAACAGTCAAACCTCTCAAAGTCAAATTTCAAGGGACCAGCAAAAAAATTTAACTTACGGAAGTTTTGAATCATAGAGGTTTGAGCTACAAAACCAAGACCTTTTTTCTGAGAAACTTAGAAAAATTGTAAATGTGGATATTCTCGGGCTTAAATGGCTTCTTAGATGAAGAACTTAGATGAAGAAAGGATGCTGAAATTGTAGGCAGGGGTTATTTGCCCATCTAAGTCTTTCACTTCCTTTAAAACACACAAATTTCTGTTTTTACTGCTTTTTCTTCCATGGGTCAAGAAAATAATGGCCAACATGCCACAGAAAATTCAAAATAAGGAGGCTCGAATGCCTTCTACTTGAGGAGGTTATGAATTTTTTCTAAGGGAATTCAGATGTGGACCTGAACTAATTCAACTTCTAGGGGATATTCAACTCTGGGAGGTTTGATTCATCAAGGCTCACCTGTATAAGAAAAAACTAACTTTGAAAAATCGTATCCTTACAAGAAAAACCCCGATTTTGTGGAGCCCACTGACAAGGCAACACCCGCATTGACCCACCACCAGCACCAGCACATACGAGACAGTCGCCAAGACTCAGAAACCACCAGGGAGTTGAAAATCAAAGAGTTCTTTCGACGGGTCATGTTCAAGGGCTCCATGCGGTTTCACGAGAATTACAATCGACCCCAAACCTCGTCTTCCAAATCCAAAGCCCACACATTGTCAAACTTTTACATCAAACACTATGTTGCCGCGGGGGCTTTTGGCACAGTGGTTTTGTGCCAGGACAAGGCGACCAAAAGGCACCTGGCCATGAAGATTCTGGTCAAGGAAAAGATTGTGAACCGGCTGAAGGTACGCGGCTGGTAAGTCAAAATAAGTGGAATTATTTTTTGACACACTATATGTAGTTCCGGATTTATTCAACTAATATTTAAATATGGACGATATGCTCCA